TCTGAATAGACCATTAAATTGGCATAAAACCAAGTAGTGATCCGTCCCTACGTTGGACCCCCGTCAAACCCCTGTGTCTACCACTGCGCTCCTCATTCTTTCATCTACAATTATGAAATCTATCATGCTTCTATCATCACCTCTTTCTCATTTATACATGTGAATCTTCTTATGACGAAAGAAAGTGTTCGCCACAAAAATATTTTTTCCACACATACTGTGAGGAGACTTTAACCATTCTTATTTATACTTTCATTACCAAACGTTCCCAATATCCTTTCATAACCAAGTCTCTTTACCCTAATTCTCCATTAAAATCTCCTAATATAACAATATTTTCATTTCCCTTACATTTCATTAGCACCATCCTTACCATCTCCCAAAACTGTTCTCAGATATAAGTGGGCATTGACATGTCTGGGGCATAGACCCCTAGCACAAACAACTTCTTTAAATCCACTTTCATTCGTATCCATAGCAGTCTCGGGCTTACACATTCACACTCTTTCGCACAATGACCCGTTCTTTCTGAGAAGATGATACCGACTCCTGCATGCCCGCTCGGTCTCGTCTACACCAGACCAGTACACGATATATATGCCATGTGTAGTGGCATCCTTTCCCTTCCGTTTCGTCTCATTTCTACATTTATTCCTCTATCATACATCATAGCACATACTTCATCCAACTTATCATTCATTGCTCCACATACATTTAACGTTTTAAACAGTGCGTGTTGCCAGTGATGACCTATGGATCTGAGACGTGGTCCTTCACTGCTTGCCGTATGAGGAAGCTCAAAGTCGCTCAGCGACCTATGGAGAGGGCTATTCTCGGCGTTTCTCTGCGTGATAAACTTAAAAACGAGGATATCCGCAGTCGAACCAGAGTAACCGACATAGCCCAAAGAATTAGTATGCTGAAGTGGCTATGGGCCGGTCATATAGCTCATAGAACCGACAACTGATTGGAAAGAAAGGTTCTCGAGTGGCAGCCTCGTACCGGCAGGCGAAGTGTAGGGCGTCCCCACGCTAGATGGAGTGACGACCTGGTAAGACATGCAGGATGCCAATGGATGCAGGTGGTTCTGGACCATGGTTTGTGGCATTCCTTGGGGGAGTCCTATGTTCAGCAGTGGACTTGTGAAGGGCTGTGATGATGATGATGATGATGAATAATGATTGACCTTTCCGCAACAAAAGTGTTCTACTCGTAAAATGATTTTTTGCTCTAAATTTTTGTGCGAAAGGCATCGTTGTCATATAAGCTTTTTTTTTTCTATAACCACTACGCGGACACGTAGTGCAACCACATGAGAAATGAAGTCGGTTTTTTTACTCATGTGGTGCACCAGCGTGTGATACTCTGCGATGAGTGATTGTCATTCACAGTATGATCACAGTATTATTCGCTTCTCACTTTATATATGCTATGGACCAAGTGATTAATAGGGCACTATTCATAATGGTGGAGAGGTGAAGCAAGTGTGTAATCACGGGTTTTCTATTACACCACGCACTAACACGTAAGTTAACGTATTTTCCTTTTACCTTATTCACTTCTAAGCGCTCTAACAATATTATAAAACTATAGACATGAAAAAAAAAACTATTTTTTTATAGAATTAGGCTGACAAACGAGCACACAGTCCACCTGATCAGTAATTGGCTACTGCGGCCCATAGACATCTACATCTATCTTCGATTAGGAATCAAAATGCAGATGCGTTGTCACCCGTGAGGACTAAGATGAAATGCCTCGTTTCCAGTAAAAAGGGTCTCCGGTTCTCCACACTCACCATACGAAACAGCAGCGTTAAGCTGCTATTTTACGCTGGTATTCTGTGATAGCGTGGCCCTTTCCCGATCGAGCCGATCCATTCCTGTTACGAGTATAGCAGCAGAATGGCTCTAACACGTATAATTTTTATATATTACTAGCGATCCGTCCCGACTTCGTACGGGAGATTGCTGGATCTCGACAACAGCGCCACCTACCGGGTTCAATTGTGAATCTAAACCATCCAGGGCCCCACTCAAGCGCACACAAAAAATTTCATCAAGATATTTCTAGCCATTTTCGAGTTTTAGCGATACTAACGGACAGCAATTGATTTTTATATAGATATTACTTTGTAGTGTATTTTTGCTATGTGTGTATTGTATTTATAACTATGAAATAGAATATGTCCTCCAGACCGAATTTCGGTCACGGCGGCCGTTCTCAACGGAGACTAGCCATCGTGCACAGGTGCACTCTCTATTCCCTCACTCTCATAGTCCGATGGGACAGTAAACCGACACAACCGGAGAGAGATCACACGCAAGACCAATGGTTTTACGTGCTCTCTGAGGCACGGGGTGAGACACCGCCAACTTCCTGACTCCGGGCCGCTACTGAGAATTTATTGACAGAAAATCTCAATAACTCATTTTTTTGGCCCGACCCGGGAATCGAACCCGGGACCTTATGATCATTAGTCGCGCTTACAAACACTAGACCAACGAGGCAGTCGGTGAAATAGTATATCTATTTATCTACATAAGCAAGGCGCTCCGTAGCTAAGTTTGTAAATATAGAGCTTGCACACGCGACCTGCGAGACGATGAGAGGTAAAGGCGACGCGGTATCTACGGTTTTCCCGCCGCACAAATATGTTTTCCTTATTCATTATTAAAGCGTTAGTGATGATATTCTTATCGATGCAGTGATGTTCTTTTTATCGTAATTTAAGCAATTGGGTTTTCTTGTTCTTTAAACTTTATTTAAATTTAAAAAGTTGTTTTGCAAAATTATTAGTTATTAGACGGATATATTTACTTACCAATATATGGCCCCAGGCTAGCTGAAGCGATGACTTGCGCGACTGGCAGCAACTGGATACGTGAAGCCGAAGATCGGGCTAAGTGGCGCGTCTTGGGAGACAGGCCTATGTCTAGCAGTGGATGATGATAATGATGATACTAGAGCAAATATTTTTTTTTTATATAATAATAGTGTCAAACGAGCTCACAGCTCACCTGATGGTAAGTGGATACCGTGGCATCTATAGTCATTAACTTTATAGGCCGCAACAAATTTGCGGAGTAATTTCAAATTTCGACGCTTATAACATAAGACCAAAAGAGTACCTAAGTTACCGTATTAGGTGTCAAAGATATATGAACATAAGTTATTAAGAATAACTCAAAAACTATTGGTCTGACCTTGATCAAATTCATATGGGTCTACACGAGAAGTATCAGCTTTCATATAAAAAAAGAATCATCTAAATCGGTTCACCCAGTAAAAAGTTATGAGGTAACACACATAAAAAAAACATACAGTCGAATTGAGTACCGTCTTCTTTTTAGAAGTCGGCAGAATACATAGCTAGCTACAGACAGAAATTTTAATATTGCGTATATATTTTGATTTCTGTGATAGAAACCGAAGAAACAATTGGGCATTTGGCACCATGTAAATAAAAAAAATATGTATTTATGATAGGTTTTGTATAAAGTAAACGAGAAATGTTGATTTCTATACATAAAATGCGTTATAAATTTAACAATTCAATTCTAAAAATATTTTAAATCTGTCTCAAATGTCCAAAACACTATTCGCTATATTAGATTCCGTCGTGACGTCACTTCTATAGTAAACAAGCTTATGTGCTGTGTGTTATTTCGAAATTTTTCAAGTTGTCATCACGATTGTTAACGTTTATTCCGTACTTTATTGAAATGGCATCATGGAAGACGGATTCGTAAAAGCAGAAAGCACTAATCTATCAAGGTTAAATACATTGATGATGGCAAAATTTTTAGCGTGGTATCCCGATTTTTGTTCTGCCGAGTTAAGAAATGATAAAACATCAATAAAAGTACCTATTACCAACTTTTGTTTATACAATAACAACATACCAGGTCAGAGTGTCTTTTGATAATACATAGTTATGTGTCTATGATTACAATCATTAGCGATCATTAGTTATAACTAAGCTAACCTTATCTATATTTACCTAATTAAAATAAAATTTGAATTGCAATACCTAGGTATCAACAGCAACACTTCACATCTCAGTATAATGTTGCTGTTGGTTTACACAGAGCAGTCTCTCAGCGACACCATTTTCCTTGCCAGCACTAGAAGAATTACTACAACGGAATGAACCCGGGCGGAATATCACCTCATGATGTTTTATATTGTATGAACGTTAATTAAATATAAGTCATACTTACATCAAACTGATTTTTACGGAAGTATAGTCTAGTTTTTGTAGACGATATCTTCGGGTCTCTTCTTGCCAGTTTTAACCAAGTATTTCTTATATTTAAATCCGTTGGCACTTGAATCCATATCTTCCCCGGCGTTCTTATGCTCGTATGTTAGCATTCTGGTACAACACACCAACGATAAAGATAAGACTCATTATTAAACATTGAAAAAAATCTTATTCCTATTTAAAACAGTTCTATTTACTAGCGCAGTGACGTCATGAGCTGAATAGCATGACGTCACAGTTCAAAGAGCTAAACTGTGATGACAGGTAGAGCGTTTTCGCGCGAAAACTTAAAACGATAAATTGATTAATCAACAATTGCTGACGGTAAAGAATTGAAATGTTACAGTGATGCTGTCCTTTAGTAATACAGCCATATGCTGAAATAGGACGCGATACAAATTATTTCGTTATTTCCTGTTGTTTGTGATGTCAAATAAATGATGATATCTTATATTTACGCGACCATGTGTGTTGCAGAGCACCCAGAACGTCGCGTCGGGAAATAAAAGTAAGTGAATGAAACGCGATAAAATCCGTAAAAAATAGTTTTATTCAATGTCAAATAAAGTTTTTTTTCTTTCATTACGCACAATACACGTGATGTGCTCATGATGTATAATTTGTATTTACAAATGTATTTACTGTCAAACTTATCCTCATCAGGGAAACTTTGTAAAATATTATAAATAACGGGTGGATTTCGCCCGCGGCCAGTGTGTCCCGTACCAGCGAGATGTGCACACGCAAATTGTTACTTGTCTGTATGCTTGCTTTGTCCGTACACGCGGACAGACACAAACACACGCACACCCACGAACATGGATGCATACATGGCAGTCAGGGTCATGGAACAGGTCCTAAAGGTCAGTGAGATGTTGTGTATTTTCTTTGTTGTTTTGATGTATTCCTATATACGAGTATATACCTATGTTTGATGATGTATTTATCGCGTCTTTAGTCTCGTGGTCGTAAACGCGCTTGAGTCATGAGATCCCAAGTTCGAATCCCGGGTCGAGCCAAAACAGTTCATGGATTTTTCTGTTAACTAATTCTCAGGAGTAGTTGGAAAGCGCGTAAGCCGTTGATCTTGCGCCTGATCTCAGAGTAAGGGAGAGTAAGGGAATACAGAGTGCACCTCCCAAGTAACACATCAAAGCAGTTTAACGGCCGACTTACAGCATTTATGTATCGTTTTCGCATTTAGAGTTAGTTCTATAATAGCATTACAAAGGTTTATACAGCTACGGCAATGCTTATTTGGGTACAAATTATACGGCTTTAGATCCTGAATAGGTTCACAGTAGTTGTTTAATTGCATTAGCATTAAGGGCGCATTATATTAGCATTTTTTTATTGGATAAGGGTGACAAACGAGCCCACAGTCCACCTGATGGTAAGTGGTTGCTGTGGCCCATAGACATCTACATTTATCCTTGATTAGGAATCAAAATGCAGATGCGTTGTCGCCCGTGAGGACTAAGATGGAATGCCTCGGTTTCCAGTAAAAAGGGTTTCCGGTTCTCTACACTCACCATACGAAACACAGCAGCATTAAGCTGCTATTTTACGCTGGTATTCTTTGAGAGCGTGGTCCTTCCCCGGTCGAGACGACCCATTCGTGCTACATCTATACCAGAAATATAGCTGCAGCATGACTCTACCACGTTATTATAATAATATTAATGTTTATTGATAAACAAAATATGGTACACACTTAGTATCTACTCCTTAAGATTAAAGTTTCGGGTAGACCAAAAATTTTTTAAATCAATAGATGCTTGGATGCATAAGATGTTGTTTCATTCGAACAAAAAACAAGTTTCACCACTAAGGCTGTGAACATTTCTTAAGATTACATTCCTAAGAAATTTTCACAGCCTTAGTGGTTATTATGTTATGTATTTAATTGTACATAAAATTGAAATTTTAATTAATTAAATTTTAATATTTGGTGAATTGGAATGAAAAGTGTACTGTGTACACTAAAAGATAAAAATTGCTACCATTTAAACCAGGCCAAGCCTGTGTCTTTTGCTAGTTTCTTCCTTACTTACTTACTTACTTATCTTCACGCACAATCCCTGACGGGGTAGCCAGAGAGAACAGATCGCCAAGTGTCACGATCCTTACATACCTCTTTCGCTTCTTTCAGATTCATTATCTTCTTCATACATGCACGTCTAGGTATCCGAGTACTCTTGACTCTACCCTTAAATACCTACCTACCTATAGTTTCTTCCTTAAAGTAACTTAACATAGAATATACACTTAAATGCTTTACAAATTACTACTTTTTAATATCGTGCTAATAAGTTGCTTATAATTATTTAAAAATATTTTTTGTTTAAGTTTTAATTTTAGGACTCAGCTCATTTTTTATTGTAAGTAGATATTCAATGTCATCATAGGTTTGTGATTTAAGCCAAAATGTCAACTTTTTTGCAATTGTATTTATTACTCGGATGTAGGTATATTAATCATTCGATTAATTTTAAAATATAGAAAAGGACCAATAAAACATTAAAACTTTTTAATAAAGTAAATCCTAGAGGGAATATTAGGACACACTTTGTCCTTTCTTCGCATTTGGGTCGTAAGAGACTTTCTTATATTGGGATAAGATCGTATCAACTGCAATGCTTGTTTGGGCACAAATTATACGGCTTTAGATCCCAAATAGGTTCACAATAGTTATTTAATTGTATTACAGGTGCAATATATTAGCATTATTATCGTCATTGAAGTTGCCAATAGCATTAAAGAAGCTTTATTACTCTCAATATTGTTGGACGTCCTATGGAAAGGTGTTCCTCAGAAAAGAAGATGGTGCACCACTTACTCGGATTGAGTCAGAAATCGACATAAGTAAATTAAGAAATAAATTGTGACTAGTCTTATCAAGCGCAGAATTAAGTATTTGCTGTGCTAAAAAATATTGTTCTAGGTACTTAAATTAGTTTTGTCAAAATATTTTTATTTTACTTTCGTAATATCGAATAACGTGTCGCTGCGGATGCTTTATACACAAACACATTACATGAACGCCACTGAAATTCTTTTCATATATACTATCACACTGCGTCAAGCTCTCACACAAATGCTGACACAAATTATTATCCATAAACAATTCAAAATAACTCATTATACAATACGATTCATTGGTTTATATAACCGCCTGATACTCACAAATATTTTTTATGATTGTTGTATACGAGCTCTGCAGTCCTTTAAGTCTATTTATACAAATTAAATACTTTAAATTTAGATATAATTAGTGAAATTGACATCGCCGGTGACATCAATTGTACAATCGTAAATGATCTTGCATGCAAAGATACTGATTTTAAAAGTTTAGGTAGTAATTCATTGAATATTATTACAGTTAACATTCATACAACATAGTATTCAACGTAACCTAGAAACATTCTTAATATTCTTAGCTCAACTTGAAATTCCAATAGATATAATAGTACTGACGCAGTGTAGGATTAACGAAAACACAATTATCCCTGTAATTAATAATTATAATTCATTTAGTACTAAAATAAATCATAATCAGAATGACGGTGTTGTCCTATACGTAAAAGAAAACATTCCAAATGTACAAATATATGAATAAAAATTCCAAATAAAATTTCTTTATTCGCTACTTATAGATCACCAAGTTTTAGAAACCCCACGGCGTACCTTGACTCTATAGAAAAATTACTAAGTGAAACTCACTCACTTATTTTTACAGGAGATGTTAATCTTGATATCCTCCCGCAGAACGGGATACTCATCAGACTATTTAAGTCTTATGGCAGCGTACGGCCTTCAACAAGGAATTGACAAACCAACAAGAAAAGTTAGTTGTTTAGATCATTTTATGGTCAAAAGTAGTAGTTCAGTACAACAAATATTTGTATTTGAATCTTTTACTGAGCATTGCCCTATACTCCTACGTCTTGGAAATTCTAGTCTGAACAGAACTAATTACCAGTATGACAAAATTATTATAGACTTTCAAAAATTAGGCGTGGCACTGAGATCTCTTCCGTGGGTAGAATATTATAATTTAAAAACCGCTGATGAAATGGCAAGCTTTCTGATCTCCAAACTGCAAGAATGTATTGTAGACAACAGTAGAATGAAAACAATTGCAAGCAGACATAATAACCCTTAAAGCCTTGGCTAACTCCAAATGTAATCAAATGTATACGCAATAGAGACAAATTATATAAAATCCTAAAGAAATCGGGAGATGATGACTATCTAAAAAAGAATTACTTAAGTTATAGAAACATCTGTAATTCTATGTAAAAAAATCTAAAACGTAACTACTACCAATTACAGCTGACTAAATCCGTCGGAAACCCAAAAAGAACATGGCAAATAATAAAAGAAATTAGTAATTTAAAAGTAAATAAATCAGTATCTACAGAATTATTAAACAAAGAAAATAATCCCCACTCGTCCCTAAACAAAGTAAATGAGTACTTTACCTCCATTGGTGATGAATTAGCTCATAGTATTCTGAAGAAGAAAAATGAAAATGAATCATTGTTTCAAGCTTGTAAAGCCAATAAATTAGACAAGGCCCCAATTCAATCGATGTCACTTAGTTCAGTGGACACAGGCGAAGTTAGAAGTATTATTAGTAGCCTTAAAAATAGCAGTGCTTCAGGGTGGGATGGAATACCTACTAATGAGCTTAAATATTTTCAAGAAATCCTGGCAGAACCTATTTCATATCTTTGCAACACTAGTTTTATTACGGGTATTTTTCCAACTACGCTCAAAAAGTCAATAGTTATCCCAATTCACAAATCAGGTGAGAAATCTTTAACATCTAATTATAGACCCATTTCGCTCTTATGTGTTTTATCCAAAGTAATCGAAAACATTTTGATTCGTAATCGAGGATAGATGTAGATGTATATGGGCCTCAGCAACCACTTACCATCAGGTGGACTGTGTGCTCGTTTGTCACCCAAATTCTATAAAAAAAAAAGTATTGGCAGTATGTGGTTGTTAAATTAAGATATATCAATATTATATAGGTCTATTGCTTTTATAATTAGGTCCGAATGATGATAATATTTTTTGGTTATAAAATATGTACAAAATGGTGTTGGTCTACAGCAGTTAGCAGCCCGGTAAGCCTTTAAAAAGGCTAATTGAAGCCGCCAGCAGAATATATACTCGAACGTGACCGTTTGAATAAAGAGCTGTTAGCTGTACAATAGACCTCAGTTGATTTTAAAAATCATATTACATTGATTCACGTTTAAATAAATAAACATGTTCTAATTCAGTTATTTGTCGTCAGTGAGCCGAAATATTGTTATGTGAAATTAACACTGTAAATTTTGTAAGAAGCGACATACGTAAACAAACCAGATGGGCAGCAGCGTCTTCTACGACTCTCTTCTACCACGACCTCACAGAAAACCAGCGCGAAGTAGAGGTTTACCTCTGCGTTTCGCTTGGTTAGTGCAGGTGGCCGGAGGCCCTCTTTACTGGAAATGAGGCATTCCATCTTAGTCCTCACGGGTGACAACGCATCTACATTTTGATTTGTGATAAAGGATAGATGTAAATGTCTATGGGCCGCAGCAACCACTTACCATCAGGTGTAGTAGTACCACGTTAGATACGTTAGATGGCGCTAATTACGAATTATGAATGGATTTAAAACGCTTATACACGGTCCGTCTTGACGTAGATCCCGCCAAGGTCATGCAAGATGCACGATGCAAAAAATGCACCCTTATCCTATAAAAAAAAAGAAATAACGACTATGACGGCTCCGTGGCGCATCCCGCTCGGAATTATTATTTGTATGGACTACAAAATGATTGTTCCGGGTTACAACTTTATAATTTGTGTTCCGGGTCTGGATGTTTGTCCTTGTGATATTTATGTATGTAAACTGCCTCCACGAAACAGGAGAAAATCCTAGGTTGAGAGCTACATTTTTATTTTTAAAAAAACTGCGGTTGCCAACCCGCATGCCAAGCGTGGCAACTATGGAGTATACCCCTCTATCAGGCAATCTGTAAGGGGGGCCTATGTCCTACAGCGGAATTTGATAGGCTGTACTGGTAGATCAGAGGTTGATGCTTAGAGAATTATTTTGCAAGTTTTCTCTACACCACATTTTTTTCACCTGCTTGCACGTGGCTTCATCACCGTCTGCAGACGGATCTCCAATAGTGGTGACTCCGTCGGGCACCTTCAAGGGTTCCATGATGTTGACGCGTCGCGGACGACCTTTCGAGGCATACCGCGGCATTCGGTACGCTGAACCTCCAGTTGGACCCCTACGATTCCAGGTAACATAGCCTACAGATTAGTAAGTGTGCACTTTAAAAACTGACTAACTTGAAAAAAAGAGTTTGCCTATATAATGATTTTAATAATAATGATTTTTACACTTTTTGATTTTTGATTGATTCGTTTTTTTGGAAAATAATGATATTAGAGGAGATTTTTTTTACAATTCAATCTGTATTTACTAGGAAGAAACAGGTGAATACGAGCTGCAGTTCTTTATACGTGGTAAGCCATGCTGCAGCTATATTATGGCTGTAGTAGAAATGGGTCGGCTCGACCAGGGTATGACCACGCTATCACATAACAGCGTGAAATAGCAACTTGACGCTGATGTGTTTCGTATGGTGAGTGTAGAGAACCGAAGACCCTATTTAGTGGAAACGCGGCATTCCATATTAGCCCTCAGGCGTGACAACGCATCTGCATTTTGATTCTGAACCGATGACAAATGTAGATGTTTATGTGCCTCCAGCATCCACTTACCATCAGGTGGACTGTGTGCTCGTTAGTCACCCCTATTTTCTATTAAACAGAGGCATACGTTCTTATTTTACTAATAAAAGCCTTCATTAATTCTGTAATTCTTACAATTTGCGTGGTGTTCCAGCCACCAAAGCTGATTGAGAAGTACTCTGAGCTGGTGGATGCGAGTCAGGAAGGACCGGCGTGCCCTCTGCCCGCGCCGCCCGAGTACTACGTGGACGAGGACTGTCTACGTATCAATGTGTACACGCCTAACCATAACAGGTACATACTTATATAATAATCATAAGTAAATAAAAAATAAATAAATTTAAAAAGGTTTTTACTTATATTATTCTAAAATACCTTCCACGTCTTCTATTTTTACGGTTCCGTACCCGAAGGGCAACGAACGGGACCCCATTACTAAGCCCCCGCTGTCCGTTCGTCCGTCCGTCTGTCCGTCATCGGACTGTATCTCATGATCCATAATAGGTAGACAGTTGAAATTTTCACAGAATGTTTATTGCTGTTGCCGCTACAAATTAAAGAAGACTCCACTACTTGAAGCGTGTTTACGGTGGTACGAAACCCTTCATGCGCCGAATTCAACCGTCCGACTCGCACTTGGTCGGTTTTTTTTTTAAAAAAGAAAACGTTCTACCCCCACTACGAGCTTCTCCTGTATCGTGGAGGCATACACAAAACTCACAAGGACAGACACCCACACCCGGTACAAATTTTTGTAAGTCATACAAATACTTGTTCCGTGCGGGAATCGAACCCTCGGCCCGCAGCGCCGTAACTCATTGCTAAGCAACTGCGCCACGGAGCTTTTAACATTTTTTCTTGCGTTAGGCTTTAATGTTTTCTATTTTTTTTAAACTATATTAATTTCAGGAAGTAGTAACAGCTACAGGCATGTATTACTAACTAGAGAACACTGGGTAAAATTTACCGCCTAGTTCCAGTTAGAATAGAATAGAATAATTTTTTATTCAATATCGATTATTACATAATTCTTATTGAAAGTCATTTTTATCTACCACTGGTTCGGAAAATACCTCTGTCCTGGGAAGAACCAGCAAGAAACCCAGCGGGACAACCCCGGACAACCCCAGTTATAGCCATTGCCTAGCTATCTGTGCAGGGCAGGATTATAGTGCCCGAGTGCACCCTGTAGTCTCTTACTCGCATAGTCCCATGGGATGGTAACCACGACCGGAGAGAAATCAGGCGCAGGACCAACGCCTTCACATGCTTTCCGAGGCACGGGGGTGAGACAGTGCCAAATCTTCAACTGAATCAAGGTTGCTACTGAGAATAATTTCAAAGAAAAACTCAAGAACTGATTTTTGTCCCGACGGGAATTTCGAAACCGGGACCTTATGATCAGGAGTCGCGTCTACGATCACTAGACCAACAAGACAGTCAACAGATAGATATGGTGAAAGTTTGGCTTGCATTTCTCGGAAAACTTGTCCTAACCATGCTGAACGGGTTGTTTGGTGAGCGCAAAGCGCAAAATAAGTGAGTTAATATCAATAGGTAATCTATACAAATAAATAAAATTGAAGTGTCCGTTTGTAACGTCAAAATAACAGCTTTTTACTAAACGCACATGAAATTTAATACGATATTTGTAACAAACACAAAAAAATTTAAATTTATGTCTGTCTGCTTGTTCCGGCTAATCTCCAAAATGGCTGGACCGTTTTTGACGGGATTTTCACTGGCAGATAGTTGATGTTAAATTATTAGGGTTCCGCGCAAAAAAAAACCTAAATTACACGCGGGTGAAGTTGCGGGGAACAGCTAGTAAGTTATACAATAAATGAAAAGATAAAGTATGAACGACAGACCACGCAGAAAAATTTGCGTAAAACAATATAATATGAGATACTGGCCTGTTAAAATTTATTTTGAATATTGTATTATTTACAAGTAAAAATACGAATGTTCCAATTTCAAATTTTCGTCGGGAACATTTTCGGGCGATGGCTTTTTCCGATTTCAAACAAAGAAAAACCTACTCTGTGTGTACTATTAGGCAATGAGGTCTAATAATCTTACGCTCACCAGATGTCGCTAGTTAGGAGTAAGGTGAACTTATTTGTCGCAGATGGTTACACAGTGCCATCATTAAAAAAGTTGCAATTTAAATTAAAAAAAATCGGTTTCTAACACAAAATATAGTGCCTCAGCCTCAAAGTTGTATATTTAATATTTTACACATATTTAATTTTTTTTATTCTTCTATTTTTAGGAACATCCGTTGTTCGGTTTATCCATTTCTAATCTAATTAATATAAAATATAACTAATGTTCCAGAAAGAACTATTAATTTTTAGACTTTTCTAAAAATAATAACTTTCCCGCTATGAAATCTGGCAAATATTTCACCTCATTGCTAAGTGGCGCCGCCCTGGTGGAAGAAAAAGTTGTGAATGCCCTCGTTCCGAAAATTTATCGAAAAAAAATTCTATGACCAGTAGCATAGTAATTTATATTTTCCAGCTCGAAACTGTTGCCAGTCATCTTCTACATCCACGCGGGCGGATTCTACTCCATGACGGGTCGCAGTGACCTGGCCGGTCCACATTACTTGCTGGACAGAGATCTTGTGCTGGTCACCATTAACTACCGTCTCGGTTCCCTTGGTGAGGCATACACTTTTCTCAGTGCTGTTTTTATATTAGTCGTTTACATTTTACGACATAAAGTTACTCCTTAGGAGTGACAATACATGTGCATTTTGATACTTAATCGAGGATAGATGTATATGTCTATGGGCCACATCAATATATACTTACTATCAGGTGGACTGTGTGCTCCTTTGTCACCCTTATTAAGGCGAGCGAAGCGAGCTCTGCACTATCTATGCATATTTGTGATCCACTTTAACTGAGAAACTATTTTATTTTAACTTTTAGATTTAAGCTTTGACACAGTATTTTCGATTTATATCTAGATGTATTATCAATTATAAAAATATTATTTTATCAACATTTAAAAAAAAAGATATAACTATTTTCATTAATTAGATTTTTATTGTGTTATTAACGCCATCTGTAAACAGACTAAAAAATACTTTTATAGTAGTACCACGTTAGATACGTTAGATGGCGCTTATTGCGAATTATGAATGGATTTAAAACGTCTTATGCACGGTCCATCTTGACGTACGTTCCGCCAAGGTCATGCATGATGCACGATGCAAAACGACAATGAGTAGGCTTGACGTACAGCAATGACGTACGTCAAGTGACGCTGTCTGTTTGTTCCGGTTAATCTCCGAAATGGCTGGACCTATTTTGATCGGACTTTCGTTGGCAGATAGCTGATGTTATAAGAAGTAACTTAGGCTAGTTTTATTTTACAAACAGAATTAGGGTTCTGCGCAAAAAAATTTTAAGCCCATAAAATCCAATCCTAATAAATTTCATACGGACGAAGATTGAGGAACAGCTAGTATGTATATAAAGTCAAAACCTGTTATTGGAATTAGGCCCTATTTTAACAACTTCTGTTTATATTTATGGTATTATACAAATACTTGTTCAGTTGGTTATCAATAAGGAAAAAAAGGGTGCACTATAAGGTTGTGTGTGATTTTCGTCAGGGTTCCTGAGCACTGGTGATGAGCTGGCGCCGGGCAACAATGGCTTTAAGGACCAGGTGGCGGCGCTGCGCTGGCTGCATAGAAACATCGCTGCATTTGGGGGGGATCCTGGACAAGTAACGATAGCTGGTTGCAGCGCAGGCTCCATATCCGTCATGTTGCATATGATCTCGCCCATGTCCAAAGGTATCATATCTCGTCATGTCACTTTCCTTCAGGAGATCAAACGTACATCAGGCATTCTGGTTCTCGCCAAAGCTGCCCACACAGTGTGAACACAGAGAGGAATACTCGCTGGCCTTGGCCCTCGTAGCGAAGGAGAAAGCCGGTCTATTAGGCTCTCTTTTTGCGTCCAGTTCGACTCTCGATAACAGGGAGAACACACCGCCGGCATGAGTTTATTATAAAAAGCAAAGAATTTAAGCCTATGGTGTTAATATTGTATATACAACATGTAACAAAAACCTGTTTTATAGAGTGACCTCTAAGGGTAAATTTTGGGGCCGTTACTGTTTTTAGTATATATATATACTAAAAACAGTAACAGCCCCAAAATTTACCGGCCCAAATTAAACGGCCCAAAATTTTGGGGCCGTTACTGTTTTTAGTATATATGTATATACTAAAAACAGTAACGGCCCCAAAATTTACCCTTAGAGGTCACTCTATAGAACAGGTTTAGGATTACTATTATGTTTATCTATTTTAAATATATGATAACGGTTTTTGAAATACGATCAAATCATTTTAGTTCTGGCCCAGTTATACTGAGCGCAGAAAATTTAAACAATAGAATTTCATGATTAACAGTATCAAATGCCATCTTTAAATGATTAAAAATGTTTTTCATTTGCAATGGTTTTGAGTTTTGTAATTAGATCAATTGATTCTGGAGGGGGTCTGATTTAGACCTGAAAACATACTAATCTGAGAAGTGTTTGTGTAAAGCGAAGTAGTCACTAAGGCCCTTATAGAAAATTGTCTCAAATCTTTTTGAGATGGTAGGACGATTTATAAACTGGAGTGACTTTGGCAAGCTTCAGCGAGTCAAGGCAGAGTTCCTGAATATATTTTTTAAGCTAAGTAGATATTGGGTCTTTTATGTATGGCATCATATTATAGTTTTAGTGGTAGTTGTATAGTATATAATGTGTACTATACTTCACGTTTATTTTATTTAATATGATAAATCTATTTTTTGTGGTCTTCAACTAAGTAAAATAAAACCCCACTGGGTTTCTTGCTGATTTTTCCCAGGATAGAGGTATTTTTCTGAACCAGTGGTAATTAAACATAAGAGTGGCTTTCATTAAGTATTATTTATTATCTATATTAAATAAGAAAAGTTTCTGTTTCTGGCTCTTTTTGAGAAGATCAAATTTAGAATCACTAGAAATAATTGCGTGTTTGTATCTTTGAACTATTTGTGTAAATATCTTAAAAAACAGTTAATAGTGTTTGTTCTTTGTAGTTTGTAAGTGGCTGTGATATCTAGCGACAATCTTTTTTAGTGTACCAACACTAAGGTAGTGATTATCTTCTTCTAATTTGTTTTCTACGAATATGATCTGCATATATGTGGTAGAGCCATGCTGCAGCTATATTAATAGTATAGTTGTAGCACGAATGGGTCGACTCGACCGGGGAAGGACCACGCTCTCACAGAATACCAGCGTAAAGTGGCAGCTTGGCACTGCTGTGTTTCATATGGTGAGTGCAGAGAACCGGAGACCCTTTTTACTAGAAAAGAGGCATTCCATCTTAGTCCTCACGGGTGACAACGAATCTGCATTTTAATTCTTTATTGACGATAGATGTAGATGTCTATGGGCCACAGCAACCACTTACCATCAGGTGGACTATGTGCTCGTTTGTCACCCTATCCTATAAAAAAATGGGTCTATTCCTCCTTCTTTTTTAACCCCCTACGAAAACAACAGGTGTTATATGTTTGTAGTGTGTATCTGTGTATATGTCTGTCTGTGGTATCATAGCTCCTGAACGGATGAACCGATTTTGATTATGTTATTTTTTGTTTGAAATATGCCTTAATCGAGAGTTATCTTAGCTGTTTCAAGAAAATATGTTCACCCGTTTCAAGATTCACACGTGGTAGAGCCATGCTGCAGCTATATTATGGTTGTAGCACGCATGGGTCGCCTCGACCGGGGAAGGACCACGCTCTCACAGAATACCAGCGTAAAATAGCAGCTTAACGCTGCTGTGTTTCGTATGGTGAGTGTAGAGAACCGGAGACCCTTTTTACTGGCAAAGAGGAATTCCATCTTAGTCCTCACGGGTGACAACGCATCTGCATCTTGAGTCTTTATTGAGGATAGATGTAGATGTCTATGGGTCGCAGTAGCCACCTACCATCAGGTGGACTGTGTGCTCGTTTGTCACCCGATCCTATAAAAAAAAATTAAAAAAAAAAAAGATCATCAGCTCTTATTGTTTCGGAGTTTTTGATAATTTTTAATTTTAGTTATTCAGTATCAAAAAGTCAGTCTGTCAACAGCTCTTCAAACCTTTGTTGTCGATAATCCACGGTTTCTAAACAAACGGTTTGCTTTGTTTCTCGCAATGCAATACAACAAAGGTGTGGAATAATTTGTCGGCGTCAGCCTTTCTGACCGACTACCTGTGTTTTCAAGGCAAGAATGAATAGGTTTTTATCACGTTAAGGCATGGCCATTTACCACCTAGGGATATATTACTAGATTAGTAGATGGGATCGTAGGGAAGCAGGGATATTGGAGTTGATTTATAGATTAATGCTGACAAATAAGCACATATTCCAGAATAAAAGTGTATTAAATAGCACCATAATGTTGCTGTTTCGTATGGTGAGCCATGAACCGGATAATATAGATAGATTCCCAATCCGTTATCACCCCTAAGAACTAAGATTTAATGCCTCGTGTCCAGTAAAAATGGTCTCCGGTTGTCTACATTCACCATAGGGCAGCTGCATTAACCTGCTATTTTATGTATTCTGTGAGCGTTCCTTCCATTCGAGTCGTACCATTCGTAGTATAGCTGCAGCGTGGCTCTATCATGTGCAGGTCTGTTCCACCGCGGCATATCAATGAGCGCGTCCCCCGTGGTGCCGGGGCAGAGTCCTCGTGAACTGTACCGTCTGGCTGTAAGACAAGCAGAGCTGGTGGGCTGCCCCTCCAACTCCTCGCGCGAGATCGTCCAGTGTCTACGCACTAAGCCCTGGAAGGAGCTCGGTGACTCGCTAATGGGATTCTATGTATGTTACAACTTGTATTTCGTATTACCACGGTTTTTTTTAATTCACTCTTTCCATAGCTTATAAGCCTATAAGCTATTACCTTGTTTATATATCAGAGAAACCTGTCTTTTTATCAAATCATTCCCTAAGTATTTTAAAACCTGCCAAGATACTACAACAAGGCGTTGTTTAAGAAGTAAATATGCAGACCTAATATATCAACCTCCCTGTCATAAAGATATGTTTAAGAAACCATAAACAAACACATGACACCCCCTCACTCATACATCGTTATGATTTATTTTATAGGACAAGGGAAACAAACGAGCACACAGTCCACCTGATGGTAACTGGTTGCTGTGGCCCATAGACATCTCCATCTATCCTCGCCTATGAATCAAAATGCAGATGCGTTGTCACCCGTGAATACTAAGATGGAATGCCTCGTTTCCAGTAAAAAGGGTCTCCGGTTCTCTACACTCACCTTACGAAACACAGCAATGTTAAGCTGCTATTTTACGCTGGTATTCTGTGAGAGCGTGGTCCTTTCCCAGTCGAATCGACCCATTCGTGCTACAACTATACTACTAATATAGCTGAATCTTTATGATTATCTTTCTCTCTTTATTGGCCCATAAAAGTTAGTTGTTGTCTCCATTTAACACAAGACTTAATGCATCTGTCTACCTCCCTTAGTTAACTATTCGATAATAATAATAATCTTTATTTGCGTAAAATATGGTATAGATGTTGTTCACAGGTAAAATAGAGCGCTCATGTTTTGCTTATTTTACATAGCATGCAAATATGGATAATGGTATTCTATTTCTGTTTGCCTTTATTAAATAATATTTCTAATTATGCTGATTTCGTCCCCACTCACTTCTCTGAATGCTTGTTTTAATTTTTAGCTTTAGGTGAAGTATGTCCGTCCATAAAGTCAATATTAATCTCTATTTGAAAAGCAGCGCTGCTGTCATTTGTAGTACAACTATAGCAAGCTGAAATGGAACCTAATTTGACTTCACACTAATTAACGTGTTATTTTTTTTCTTAGCGATGTCAAATAATTTTCTTGCTTTATTTTCTTTCTTTCTTAAATATTTAATGGAACTGCACCCGTTACGCGATGGTCCCACAGGAGTTCGGGTTCGATCCCGTGGGCATCTGGATGCCGGTAGTGGAACGGGACTTCGGGCAGGAGCGCTTCCTGCACGTGGAACCTTCAGATGCGATACGTTCAGGCAACATGCACGCCGTGCCGCACATCATCAGCCAGACGCAGGATGAGTTCTTCTGGAAGGCGTTCAGTGAGTACATTCTTTATTAAACACACATTAGATAAGTAGATAATTATACAATCAACGTAACTTGTATGCGAAATGGTACGCGACACCGGACGAAGCTATGAGCATGAATTTAATGATATAATAAATGACATTTTCTGCCACCAGAGCGGCGCCACTTAAAACTCAGGTTTCAATCAACAGTTCAATTTGTTCTGAAAATATGAAGTTCAATATTTTTTTCTGTACTATTAAGTATATTTTATATTGATAAGATTAAAAATAAATAAACCAAATCACAAATATTCATAAAAGTAGAAAAATTAAAAAAAAAGTTTAAAATGTGCAAAAAATTAAAGAACAAACCAGGCGTGAGATATTATTTTGTGTATTAATATAATACTCTATCAGCTGATAAACTTTTATTAAAAACTATATTCTCAATTAAATGACATTGTGTAACAAAAACTTTACCTTAGTGTCAACTAGCGACATCTGGTGAGCAGAAAATTATTAGCCCTCATAGAGAAATTTCTAGCATGAAATAAAATTCGCTGTGTTTTGTAAAATGAAGATCAACAGAGCATTAGGTACCTCGAGGGCAGTAGTAATAATAAGTATTATAAGCTTCAAAAAGCTCGTAGTACCAAGCATATCTAATACATATAAAAATAATTTTTGTTTGTTCATATTGTATGCGCTGCCATATCGTTCATCAGATTGCGGTAAAACTTGGTCAACTTATTGCTTGCACTTGCGCGAAGCTTATATCACAGTACAATTAACTTACAGTAGATGGCGTGCATATCCTACCTACAAATTTATTTGAAAGTTATATCATAGATAATATAATATTATTCAATTTCAATGTATTACCATTCCTAATTAAACAATATAACTCTTGCAAATTTAAAACGATATTTCCACAATTATTTCTTCTGCGGCAGCAATACGCCGGGTTCCAGCTAGTAATTAATAGAATTAGGCGTTACTTTGCGGAAATCCATATAAAGTTGTTAAAAATAAATTAGCTGAGATCCGCGTGAAAAAATAAAATGATGTGTTACCTAAGTTTGAAGAGCACCTCCCGCCCTCCCTCAATTACGTGCACTATCCCGTTTTATATATGGTAGTGGAGCGTGTTAACAATTTTAGTACTTGCAATACTTCTAAGTTACTTAGTGTTGACATTTGAACAGTAGTTGAATAAATTAACTTAATATACTAATATTAAAATAATAACATTAATAACTTAATTATAATATATTCACTAAAGTATTGTTGAGCGCTACGATTAATGCCTGGTAAATGGCAACAAAAGTTACCAGTAGCGCCCTCTAGTATCGAGTGGCAGAACTAGGAGAGTCAAGATCCTTGTAGAAATTTCCATGGAAGAACTTTCTAGAACTTTCTATAACTATCGACAACTAGTCAATCGGGACCGGTGTGTACTAGAACACTAGATGTTTCTACAGCAGAAGATTCTGGAAATATCTGAGGCCCTATATAAGGCCGGTAATAGTATATTGATTATAGCATCAGCAACTCTCCAGCTGTTCGTAAAGTTTCATCACAATCGATTCAACCATTAAGAACTGTACCTATATCTACCGGACAGACCGACAGACAAAATTATTAAAAGTGGTTATTTATAGTGGTTTTATTAATAGAGCATTCCAATGACCCTTGAGCTTAATAGAAGGCAATTATTTTAATATGACAGACAGATACGTCAATTTTATTTATATTTTTTATCATAAAGATACGGATTTATTTAATAAAAATTATGGAGTGTAGAGTACAAGGAGAACCATCTTATAAGGGGCGAAAGTTGAAAAAGTGTCCTACTATTTACTGAAAATAGATGTTCCAAAACCTACCACAATAGCGCTGGCGTCTGAAAAACTACGATATGAAGATAGCTGTTGTGAACGGAGTGAAGTCAGCTGAATTCAAATATTTAAAAAATTTCATGACTAGAGTAGTTAGTAAAATGCCAGTATACAAAATCTCAACTATTTACGTAGTACAAAACCAAGCGGATTGGTCGGTCCTTGTTTATTTCTCCATCTTATTCTAATTACTTTTAGCGCTTTTTTTTAAATTTATCCACAGCGCCAACCTTATTGGACGGGTTTTTAGGGACACTTTTCTTATATAGAGATTGTCCTCCTTGTACTCTACACTCTACAATAAAAATGGAATAGAAATAAATTTTAGAATAACATAATGTCTGAAGATTGTAAGTACGTAGGTACATATATGTTATGTATATTACCATTGAGTTATACGTACTACGTACTAGAGAAGCCATTTCAAACAAAAACTGTGTCCTACTCTATGTTTTCGCGCATGCGCGGGAGTAGTAGTCGCGAAGACTAATTTGATATAAAATAAGATATTAATATAAAATAAATATAAGAATTTAATATAAAATATCTTAATTTAATCTAAACAAACAGGTTATATTTCTAAATAAAATGTAATAATTATTATTTTATGGAATTCACAAATCTTCAATTTACGCAATATTTAGTTTGTAAGGATTGAGTTGAACATAGTTGCGCTAGCACTTCTTACTAGTTTGTGAACATAGTCAATGTTCGGAATGGCTTCTCTAGTACGTAGTACATATAACTCATTTATTACACATAATATTATGTTTGTTCAGTACAATGTTGAAATTGAACCTGTTTAAAATTTTATATGTTGTGAATATTTTACGTATTTCGTTTTTTATATAATGGCAACCAGAGAGTACAAATAAAACATTTTTTGCTAAATTTTTCTAACTAAAGATTATACTTACATAGGTATATGTAAAACTTACTTGCGTAAAAAATACTCGATAAATGCAATATTTTTTGTTCATTTTGCATTGTATAGTTAAATTCATCTTTTATTTATACAATAGTCTAAAAATATAATATTATACATACTTATTTTCTTTTTTTTTTATAGAATAAGAGTGACAAACGAGATCGAACGAAACATAGACATCTATATTTATACTTCATTAAGAATCAAAATGCAGAAGCGTTGTCACGCCTGAGGACTAAGATGGAATACCTCATTTCCAGTAAAAAGGGTCTCCGGTTCTCTACACTCACCATACGAAACACAGCAGCATCAAGCTGTTATATTTCACGCTGGCATTCTGTGAGAGCGTTGTCCCTCCCCGGTCGAGCTGACCCATTCGTGCTACAACAATAATATAGCTGCAGCGTGGCTCTACCACGTACAAAATTAAACAAAAAAAATACTGCCTTTCTATATGCAGAACCTGTGTAAACTGACTATAGATTTTACTAAATATTGTGTTCCGTTCCAAAAATGATTTGAATTATTAGATATCAAGTTTAAGTAAGTTGAACTAAAGTTTAACTTCAAAAATGATAAAAGAAAGTGGATTGTATTTGGGCGGGTATTATTGCAGCGGTCCTCAAGAATGAGACGCTGTTGAAGCGGATGAACGAGGAGTGGGAGCAGGTGGCGCCTATCTCGCTGCAGGTACCGCGCGAGGGAGCCGGCCCGAAGGTGGCGCGCCTACGGGAAGCCTACCTGCGGGACCGCGTACTGCGGGATGATCAGCCCAGTGCTAAAGCTCTGGGCGATCTGTACGGAGACGCCATCATTGGCTTCCCCGTGCACAGGTCAGTGCACCGTAGTTACAATTTTTTTTGTTTTAACGTGTCGATGGTTAATATTTCATCACTGTTTCCAGGAGTTCAATTAAATTAATTTCCTTTATTCTTAAAGATACTCTTAAGAAAATATCATTTGGGAAACATTATCGTTTCAAATTTAAGTTTGAGCTGAGCAGAAACTGCAGAAAAATCCTTTTAGTTGATTTCAAAAGAAGGAAATTCTCAATTAGATTTATTTGCCAGATGACTTTTTTACCTTGTAGAAAAAATAAAATATATGTACACAAATTAGAATGCTATGGCTAGATATTTTTGAAATTTATTGTTTTTTCTTTAACATTGTATCAAATATATTTATTGATAAATAACTACCGATTCGAAATACACTTTTAACTTATAAACTATTCTATCCTAATATTTCAGATAAAACTTAGTTTCAAACGTTAATGGATTAAAAATACGATTACTTGTACGCTATACACAACAAAAGTTTTTGCTCTTTTAAACTCACGTCTGTATTCGGGTAACCGCGGAAATTCCAAGATCAAATATATATGTACTATCACCACAGAACACTAATATTGAAAGAGACTATGACAAAATGACAAACCAACCTAACAAACGAGTGTCCAAAAAACCTCTGATACTATGATCTATCTATCTGCGAACAACTGATCGCCTGAACAAATTTTAAAAGCAACAAGTTTCCATATCTCAATATCTCCTTGAGGCAATCTATGGGGAAGTTATGATATTCAACAGTGGACATTATTTGATAGGCTGAAATGAACAAGTGCTATCATACCAATTTAAAAGACTTTTGCTGACTGTAATATTGTTTCACTAAACCATATTCTAACGAAATACAAGTGGCAAAATTAAACATTTTGTACAACCGACTTCAATATAAATAAAATGAGAACACCGTCAATGTATTCAAAGTCAATTAAATACGCATTATTAAGGATAACTCAAAAACTAATGGTCAGATCTTGATCAAAGACAACATGCCACATGAGAAGCACCGGCTTTTAGATAAAAAAGAATCTTCAAAATCGGTTCACCTAGAAAAAATACTGTTGAGTACCTCCTCCTTTTCTTCAAAGTCAGTTAAAAATTAATCAAACTTAACGTAGTAGACCCATACTGCAGTTATATTACAGTTGTAACACGAATAAGTCGGCTTGACCAGGGAAGGACAGCGCTCTCAAATACCAGCGTGAAATAGCAGCTCAATGCTATTTCCTGACCCTTTTTATTGTAAACGAAGTAATCCATCTTTGTCCTCAGGGTTGATGATGCATATGCATTTTGTTTCTTAATCAAGGATAAAGTAAGGATTATCTATGACAGAGCTATAATTTTTAACCAGAAAATTAACTGTCCCCCCTTGCTCCAAAAATTTAAATTTCGTGTTCCGTTCTGAATTCCTCGCGCTCCCATTACTCCACTTTGCCCTCCTTTTAGGAAATCTGTCTTAGGTGCAAACTCCACAATTCCAAGGTTGTGCAAGTTGGTCAATGGACATAGTGACTTAGATGACATTCACGCCGACTCATTTGCCAAAATTAAGAAAGTTCTAGCTTCAGCCTGGTCTGAAACCAACAAATAAATTATAGTTTTTTTTTTACCATATACTTATTTTCATTATTAGGTAATTATACTTCTTTTTATTCGTATTTATAATCTTTCTCGATGCATGTGGTGTTTACCTTAAACGATTGTTACACTTAGTCATATAAATTAGTTCTTAAGCCATTTTGTTAAATACAGTGTAATCAAACATTGGTAAACCTTAATAAATAAAATAAAATAAAAATAAAATCACTTACTATCAGGTGATAAAATATTTAGTATTTGATGTTTTGATGTCAACTGTTCCATGATGGCAGGATGGCCAACCTGATGTGCCGACACTCGCCCCATCCGGTCTACTACTACGAGTTCGCGTACGTGGGCAACCACAGCCATTACGAGGACCCAGACACCAAGAAGCCCACAGGTGGGATTCCACACAAGCACACAACTTCTCTCCAAATTGTACTCTGCGTTATGGTTGCCACACTTCCTTTCTTGATGGATGATCTTGTCCTGTAATTTGAATTCTTTAAAATAGGACAAGGCAATATCGCGCGTATTCGACGTTCCCTCTCCTAGTTGAGGAGAAAGAATTTAAAAATCTCTTTGAAATGACAGGCCATGTTGTAATAAATGTTTCATTCATTCTATTGTTTTTATATTAATTAATGTTAACACTGATACTATATCAAAATTTTATTGAAAACAATACGATATCCGTTTAATTCATCATACGTAGGAACTTTATTTAATTTTATTAAATCCTCTAAAACATGAAACGGGTGCTGGCAACTCTAACTGTAGTGCACATTTATAATCTTTTATATTATTCGTTCTTCTTATAACTTTTAATTTTAGAATCAGGCGTTGCTAATATTTAATATTTTAGAATTTCTATACTCTTTATTCTAGAGAAGTAAATTAATGATAATGAAACATAATTTATCGAGTAGTGTCGCTGTAAATATCCACTACCCAATATTATATACAAACCAGGAAATGGGCAGCAGCGACTTCCTAATCATCATCATCATCATTACAGCCATTCACGAGTCCACTGTTGAACGTAGGAGGACGGAGGTTTTCCCCCAAGGACCATTAGGAGTACCCCTATATTGCTATAGTTGCCACGCTTGGCGAGCGGGTTGGCAACCGTCTTCCTAATAACTACTAAAAGTAAAAAAACTGCATCCCACTTGCCAGGCGTGACAACTGTGGCAAATATTCGCCCTATGAGACAATCTATGAGGAAGGCCTATGTTCAGCAGTGGACTTACGGTAACGTTAAAACATAATCACACTGTATAAAAAGAAACATCAAAAGTTCCTATAGCAAAATGACAACTATTAAATCACTCCAGGCGCGGCTCACCACGACGATCTGATCTACTTGTTCACGCTGAGCTACCGCTTCCCAGCCATCCCCACCGCTGGGCTGGACGCACAACTCGTGGACAAAATGACCGCCATTTGGTACAACTTCGCCAAGCACGGGTACGTACCAAACAAACCAGTAAACACGCACAAACGACAAGAATTCCAATAAATGCTATTCAATTATTTATAATCGGTATTATAAAGTTTAATTTTTCAATGTTATTCTTTTTTACCTTTTAACATTCTAAACATTTTAGTATGTTCTTTATAGTATATAATTTTATAGCGTGACCCTTAAAAAATCAAATTTATTTTAATTACAAAAAAGATGTTTAAAACGTAAGTAACCCTCTCGTATCTTAATTTTTTTCACGAATTGAATTTAGAGTGCTATGCTCGGGGTGTCTCTGCGTGATAACCTTAGAAACGAGGATATTCGCAGTAGAACCAGAGTGACCTAAATAGCCCAACAGATTAGTAAGCTGAGGTGTCCATGGGCCAGCCCTATAGCACGAAGAACCGACAACCGATGGGGAAAAAAGGTTATCGAGCGGCAGCCTCGTACCGGCAGGCGAATTTTAGGGCGTCCCCACACTAGATGGAGTGTCGACGTGGTAAGACATGCAGGAAGTCGATGGATGCAAGTGGCTCAGAGCCGTGCTTTGTGGCATTCCTTGGGGGAGGCCTATGTTCAGCAGTGGACTTGTGAAGGGCTGTAATGATGATGATGATGAAATAACACATATTATTACGAACTGACTCTTTAATCTGATAATTTTTTCCTCTCACAGTGATCCAAATCCTCGCGACGACCTGGATCTTCCCGAGCTGAGCGGCTTGAAGTGGCCCGCTATGACTGCAGACAAGCGGAGCTATTTACGCATAGATAAAGAATTCTCTGTCAGAACCAACCTTAAAGAAGACAGAATGAAAGTCTGGGAGGAGCTTTATCCAATGCAATATTAGTTCTTTGTATGTTTTGGGTACATTACTGCTATATTTTTTACCTTTTTTGTCATAAATGCAATAAATAATACTTCGAAAATTTTGAGTCTTTTAATCTTTTATTAGGTACCTTAATTATTTGAGTCTGTTACATGTCGGAGAGGACGTACCTTACTCGAATCACTGCTAAATGTATAAAAAAGCGTATGGAGGATAGAAGTGTTAGTGTTATAATACCTAGTATAGATAATAGAATTCGCAGCAGAACTGCAACTGGCAACCTATAAGATCAGCATCTAAGCTATATAACATTATATAAAAAATTAAAACTACTGCCTTCATAAATCAAGTCATTATAGGAGAGAGATAGTGTTTTCTATTTAAGAAAAAATAAGTTTGAAAAATTAACAATTATTATTTTTGACTCTAAAATGCGATCAATGGACCTATCTTTTCCTTAATAATAATTTTAATAGACTTTATTCGGAAGCAATAAAGTATTATTTTGCTTGTCCTGTTTTATGTACTAAATTCTTCTGAATTCGCCCCAACGCATGCGTCAAATTCACGTTTTCTCCCTTAACCTAATAGTGATGCGAATAATATTTTCGACAAAAATGTCGACAAATAGTTTGCTTACATATTCTTTATTCAATTCACATTCAAATTTATTTATTGCCATAATGTAGTACATGATATTTTGATGTTTTTGTTTATCATGATGTTGTTATTAGCTCAAATAAATAATTTTAATAAACGTTATAATAAACTTCTTCTCTATTTACTTATTTACAGTCTATAAACGTCCTTCGGGTGGACATAAGAGTAGGTATCCTCTCACGTCTTATATAGTTGATAAATTTGTTGACAAAACAAAAATGGGGGTTAGTGAGTAAAGTTGTCAGTAAGCCCAATCCTAACCTTATTTTACGTGAAGTGTATTTCAATAAGGATAACAGCATCAAGCAATAAGTTTGTGGAAGAGGAAAAGGAGCTGGTTTAAACTTAAGCACAAAAAATAACTATGTATGATTAGAAAATAATACATCATCATCATCATTATAGTTTATCAAAAGTTAATTTAAAAAGTTAAATTAAGCAGAAACCGAAGCACTTCGTATTGCAATTATTTAAAAATTTGATAATGATTTCTTTTAAGTTATGAATTTTAAGCCTTACAGATTCCCAAAACAAGATTTATACGCCCTGTATGATCTTCTTACAGTTCGCAAGTTATACATATTAAATATTGCATACAATCCTGAATTCAAAAATAAAAGGAGAAAAACTAACGTAGCTCCAAGTGCTCCGGTTAAAACAACATTTGCTAGACGGCAACAGGCAAAAAAGTCATCTTATTTATACAATTATTTAAACAAAGAATTGAATATTTATTCAAAAACTAGTAAAGAATGTAAGAAACTTCTTATTGAATGGCTCAAGTGGAAAGATTATCACGAAATTGAAAATTTGTTAAAATAACACGGCCTACGAAGCACGCACGCACACGTGCACTCACGCAAACACACACAAAATGCACGCACACACGCACACACACACACACACACACACATATTTTATAGTTAATCTATCAAAAGGAAAGGAATGTTATGTTATTCTTGTAACTACAAGTATTGTATGTTAATTAAGGAAGAGCGAGTTTTCCTGTCACAAGTATTGTAAAATACTTAAAAGGAGAATTCTGTGTACTGCTAATGATGTAAATTTATTGTTACAGAATAAACATTTTTTGATTTTGATTATATATTTATGCGAACACCACAGATTGAATAAACTATTTTTACTTTGTTTTTTAGATTTTATCGCGTATAATTTTACTTATTTTTAATTCCCGATATTTCGAGTGTTCTGCAGTACCCATTAGATGTCACGAAGGTACTGATATAATTGACGTCCCAATGTCAAAGTTAACCTGGAGTAACGTCAACTTTTTAATTATTAATTAAGGTAGGATAAAGGTGAATACACACTATATGAACCGAACACGTCGTATAAAATTAATTTTTAAATTCTTTATTTGAAATCCTATGAAACCTCAGAAATTCTAAACGAATTAGGATAACGTCATAATGTTCAGCGTGGGAGATGCAGTCGAATCGAATCGACCGATGTGATCGCATTACGGAGTAACCTGCGAATTTTCATCATTCACAGATCAAAGATTCATTATTTTTAAAAAAAATTAGCGAGAAAATTTAATTGAATTAGTACTTTCTTCATCTTCCATTAATAAAGCACTGACAGTAAAAGTATATCTAGATCCTTCACAATTCGCATGTGATTGCTGTGCGACAGATATAAAAGAAATGGGAACGATATTTTCAGTGCGGTCGATTCTTTCAATACGGATATGTGTGCGAGGCCTCCTCGACTTCGATCCGTTCGATGCGTTCAGCTCGGATAAGTGTGCGTTCACCTTAACTGACGGTTAACACAAACGCTTCGGGAAATTTGCAGCTTGTGATAATTTCTTGACAGCACCCGGCCATTATATCAGATTTGATATACCACAAATCATCGCGAAAGGACGTTGATTCCTACTTAAGATGGTGAGACTATTGATAATAAAAGAAAAAAATTTGAACTACAATAGAGGATTGTGGCTACTACTACCTGCTGGGGATCTTGTCTTGTAATTAATAAAATTAAATCCAAGCATACCACTGCAAGAATTAAAAATACAGTGTGCTCATTCTGCGGAGATTGGTCCATAATTAATAATTAAAAATGTGCAGGTACTCCAGGTTAACTTTGATATCGGGAAGTCAAACACCTCAATCACCAAACAAGGGAAATTAAAAATAAGTATACCAATGGTCATATTGACAAAAAGTAAAATTAAACACGATAGCCTCTTTCAAAAATAATTTAACGAAATGGCCTAAAAGAATATTTAGAATGAAAAATTTGTTTAATGATTTATGTGCCCTACTTATAGATAGTTTTTTGTTTTATGTACCTAAATATTTGCACGTCTGTGAGCAGACTAAACACATGTACATTATAGAATTAACTGAATACCCTGTCAACTGTGTTTTATGCAAATAAAGAACTTGTATTTGAAATCAATAAAATAGTTTTATTCAATAAAAATAAGTTAGAGTTACAGCATTTATATTGCTTCAGTTACGGTTTGTTATATAGTGCACAGTACAGTATGCAACGTCAAAGTTTATCTTAATACTAGCTGTTCCCCGCGACTTCGCCCGCAAGTAATTTAGGGTTTTAATTTTTTAACGCATAACCCCAATTAGTTTTCTAAAATAAAATTAACCAAAGTTACTTTTTATATTATCAGCTATCTGCCAATGAAAATCCCGTCAAAATCGGTCCAGCCATTTCGGAGATTGGCCGGAACAAACAGACAGTAAAACAGACAAAAATTTTAATAATTGTGTTTTTGTTATACGTAACGTATGTACTTTCATATGTATTTAGTAAAAAGCTGTTATTTTGACATTACAAACAGACACTTCAATTTTATTTATTTGTAAAGATTGTATAGATATATTTCATTATGATGATTTTAATTTAAGATCTATCACAATCACATTACCTTAAAACTATTAATAAAATATTGTTAATTTATTTTTGATATATTTATAATCACAATCGATTTCCCTAGAATATTAACAGCCTTTTAAGATATGCCAAAAACACAGTCCTAAGTCCCTCCATCGGCTTTATTCATCTATTACTAGGCTGTCTTTAAATACAATATTTTTAATAATTTCTCAATAATTCAAAAATAAAACAAAACTATGATAATGATGACAATCAGCAATTTTAAACCGTTTCTAGGAAATTAGTCTAATTTTTTTGCTTGTGGTAAGATTTCTAACTTTTATATGACTTCACCGCAATAAACATACTATACTACTAGTTATAAATAACAATTTAATTGAAACTAGGTATTGTATTTAGCCGTTAAAGAATATAATTAATGCAAAAGTAATATCGATAATAAATTATACATACATTCAACAATTTTAATTAATGTTTCAAACATAAATTTGATGTCAATAATTTAATAAAAATAAGACCTTCTGCTGCAGTTATTTTTGATAAAAGTACTAAGAACTAGGAGTCTATCTACCTCAATAAAAAATATTGGCGTAATTATATGAAGCATGGCGAGTCGATAGAACTGCATGGCGTTGCACGCATCACTCCGTCACTCGTCCCCTCGCTTCTGAGCCGCCATGACAGTCGAGCGCGCCCTACGCCGCTGTCGCGTTCAAAAATAGAATATTACTGGTGAAGGAAAAACTTGGGTCTCCTACGTGAGTATTACTCAACGCTATCAACTTATTTATTTATGTATACATTATTAATTAATTTTTTTCGCTTCGAAACAATCTAAGGATGACCATATTACTGCTAAATTAAATTATTAAACATTACTGATTAATAGTGTAACATTGTTTGTCTGTGTCATATGATTATACTTAATTATTTTATGGGTTTTTATAAAATATATTATATTCGTTTACATTTGATAAAGTTATACATTTATTACTGTGAATTTTACAACAATGAAAATATTTTTGTCTTATCATCCATGATTATTTAATTTTTACTCTAGGTCGGGTAAAGACTCCAAAGGGATATTATGCAATTAAGACTATGCAATCTCCTAAGTGATCGTTATTCTTGCCATACTTTGCAACTCTGCATTATCTAGAACATTTAATTTTTAAATTTGCCGCTTCATTAGAGCCAAAAAAAATTCTGATAGTCGTGAAATGGTTGTGAACTTACACAATAAAATGAGTTTAGTTCAGTTGTATCGCGGGCGACTTAATCATTGTATTGGTAACCTCGTTTTGTTTCGTAGGTGACGTCACGCTTCTGCAGCTCAACTCATCTCGTACAAACTGGCAAGTCTGGTGGAGGGAACCGGATATGGGAGGTGAACATAAGTTTTTTTTTTCATTCATTGTTTGTAATTTGTGTTATACTGGCAGTCTTTTTTTTTTTAGAATACTCGTTATGATATTATTTATAATAAACCGGTCCAAAAATAAGTGCTATTTTAATTCGTTTCAAGGATATTTTGCTTGTTACTAAAGCTCTTAAAAATAATGTTCAATTATGAAGATTATTATTTAGTGTCGGTATTTATCTATATTTAAACATGATTTTACGCGTTATATTTGTCTTGTTCATAAAGAATTATGAATATAGAAACGCAAGGCGGGTAGTATTTCGTATTTTGGGTCACAAGTCGCAAACAATATGTCATTGTTTGACTCTTACCTCTTACAGGAAGAATTTAATCTGCGTTCCGCTTGCGAGGCCGCAACAACGACAATCAGTGAAGTAGTTTAAATTAGCCTTACCCACTTTACTACATTATAATATTGATGTTGATGGGCGAAAGATAACACGAACCTAAATTGCCATATAAACTCTTTTGCTTACGTTTTCCCTACCTTGGAAATAAGGGATTTTTAATTGTATAATTTCAGACTAGGCGACATATTAACAACCTGTTGCTGTTTACATTTACATAATATATATATTTAAAATTTTTGAAAATCTATAATTGTTAAAAGGTTATAATATACTAATGTGAGTGTTGCCCTAAAATAGTTGATTCTGTCATAAAAAAAATAGTTGTATTTACGCAAAAAATATCCAACACACCAAAAGCACCATTTTAGACACTGATGTTCAGGGTTTCGATAGGTGTTCGGTGACAATGGCTCGTTTTGATTATTAACTGTATTTTTATTAACACTCACTATTCGATTTTCAGACACAATATCTAGTAAGTCAATGAAAGTTAAAGTTACAGCCTATATACGTCCCATTGCTGGGCACAGGCCTCCTCTCATTCCTGAGACAATAACAATGAGTTATTATTAATGGTACACGAGACAGCGAAAAGGTTTATAACTAAATTGTGTTATTCACACAAAAACCCCTGGGAATGAGGTGATCGCCACCATGCTGGTTCTATTAAAACTCAATTCTAAAATTTGTACAAACAAAAAAACAAAATTATTGTGAAGTGAAATATGTTTAAGAAAGTACCGCTGTGTTTCTTTCTGGTTCCTCCCAGGACAGAGGTATTTTCCGAACCAGTGGTAAATAGAAAAAATACTTTCAATAAGTATTATGTGATATTTTATATTCGCATGTTTTATCGCATGACGCAGTCACTCGCTACTTAAGTAGGGAGCGGTTGCGTTAGCGGTCTGTATAAACAGCAGTTGCTTTGGCTCGCCGCTCATTTAGCGGTTAGCCACCGTAGAGTCTATATCACCTGAGGATGCCTCGTGTAGAGGCGAAACACGTGTCGTAATTTCGTCAGTGGTGTGTCTTTCCTAGTGTAGTGGTGTTGGGAGTAGTGGTGCTGGGATTAGTGGTGACGGGGATAGTGCACGCAATTGAGGGAGGGCTCTTCAAACTAGGTAAGACACATCATTTTATTTTGTCGAGCGGATGTACGCAAAGTAATTTTTTGCCAACTTTAATATAATGGACTTCCGCAAAGTAACGCCTGATTCTATTAATTATCTGAATAAAAATTATTCTATTCTACGATTTGTTGTTAAAGAAATAAATAATCACAAATACTTACATCATTTAATAGTTCAGGTACATAGTATTGTCGTGTTGCATTAGTCTTCATAACTTCACAAATACAAATCATCTTCATTATACATGCCTACGTAATTTGGCATTTCCATAATTTTACGCGAATGAAAAAACTTGGCAACCCTGAATGTGATGCATGTTTAACATGATGTTATTGAACGATTGTTTCATTATGGCATGTAAAGAAGTGGTCTTTAAGTCCATGGTGATAAAGTATAAAATAGATTATCCATGTTATAAGTTGACGTTAAACGTTCCAGAAAATGCATTAATTTTTATTTGAATAACAACTTTATATTTATGAATTAGAATCTGAAATAGTCTGTAACAATTTTCGAGTTATCAGTAAAGCTGTCTGTCATTCGAATGTAGGTTGTATTACGAGATATTACTTTCTAAATTTGGTTGAGGTGCTTAAAGCCTGATATTTATTCTGTATGAAAACAAAGAGTAAGTTATTTCCCTAGAGTAGGTATTTGCTTATAAATACTCTAAGGTTGTTTCCTTTTTTTTTTTCAGAATTTCCATAGCATAATTTTTTGTGTTGTTTGGATACTGCCTTGTTATCATAGACTAATCTATTTATAGCTGCCATACGGAAATGATAACTGACCTATTAAATCCATTTTTATTTTAGCAACTTTATTTTTATAGTATCAATTTATGGGCACGCATGAACACAGTTACTATTATTATATTCAATAGAATTTTAACCAAACCACCCTTGTTATTATGGAAATTATTTATTATGTTATTATAATATTATAATTTAAAAAAATAAAAATTAATATATATCGACACACCTGTCGAATTCAGAATCCGAAACCGATCCTATATACGTATATAGGGCGTATATCAACATAATATATTACATAGTTACACAATGTCATATTGCAAATAGTCTGCCAGTTTTGTCACCCCTATTTTATAAAAAAAAACAATTATCCTACTGCCCCACAAGGAGGGTAATGTTCTTCGAGTAGCTCTGTAGCCTAAATGTCTATATGGGTTTCGTTAGAATCATCTTAGTTGTAGAATTGACATAGGATAAAACTTTTCTCTTTTCAGTAAATTGTTTTACGCAGTCGGATTTTTTAAAAATACTATTTTAACCTTTCGACTTGTTTCAGTTATATACACAAGGCATAGTAATCTTAATGTATAGAACCTGTTCGCATAAAGGCAACCTATTCCATGATATATTTGAAATCCCACTACCAAAACATAAAAGTTAAATAGAAATAAAAACTTTTTTAGATTAGATTATAAATAATACTTATTGGAAGTTTTTTCTTCTTTTTTTTATTATTTTAAGCCAGTGCTTGACCACAATCCCACCTGGTGGTATGTGGTGATGCAGCCCTAGATGATAAATCGCACTGTCTTATCGTAACAAAAGCCTATTCACTCTTGCCTTGCAGACTCCCTGATTGTATTCGGACAGAAAGATAGACGCCGGCAATTTATTCCACTCCTTTGCTGTACGCATTACATAAGACGAAGCAAACCGTTTGGTTCTAATGCGTGGAATATCGACAACAACGGGATGAAGACCCGCCGACCTCCTGGTCGTCCGATGGTTGAAAGGAGAGGGAGGTTATAGCGTGTAATTCCTACGCACACTCATCGAAATGCATCTTATAGAATACCGAGACCCTGGCTACTCTGCACCTATGCTCGAAGCTGACAAGATTGGTTTCAACCAAATCTCATTAACTCTTATGTGTAATTTACTATGGTGGAAAGTTCAGTACAAGCGTTCACGGTTGTCAGCTTCACCGATAAAATAGTTAAGATCCAATTGAGGGATAACCTTCATAGTAGTTGCCTAAATCATAGGATCTATAGTAATATACAACGTTCAGAACAACGTTAAAAATCAAGGCGTTCAAACTGTCGTTCGAAGAGCTTTATACTTTATATAAGATTCCAGATTCCAGATTTACTGAGTCGTTGGAAAAACCCGTTCCAAAATACAAGTCTTTCAAGGAGATTGGAAACGTACACATGATATGAAGAAATCAGTTAATTTCTGATAGAATTACCAATTTCACTGTCCCGTGAGTCACATATTAACATTTCGATTGTTTAACATTGTCTTTTTCGCGAATAAGGAACGCAAGGCGAGTATTAACTTGTTACTGAAAATTGTTAGTAGCAGAGGAGATAACACGGCAACAGTAACAGTCCAGGTAGAAGAGATATCCTGTAATAGAATTAGGTTCCTGTAATTTTATAACGTGGTAGAGCCATGCTGCAGCTATATTAGTACTTAGTATAGTTGTAGCACAAATGGGTCGGCTCGACCGGGGAAGGACCACGCTCTCACAGAAATCTAGCGTAAAATAGCAGCTTAACGCTGCTGTGTTTCGTATGGTGAGTGTAGAGAACCGGAGACCCTTTTTACTGGCAAAGAGGCTTTCCATCTTAGTCCTCACGGGTGACAACGCATCTCCATCTTGAGTCTTGATGTCTATGGGTCACAGTAACCACTTACCATCAGTTGGACTGTGTGCTTGTTTGTCACCCTATCCTATAAAAAAGGTGTCGACGTTCCAAGTTAAAGACGTTAAAAATTAATTAACTGGAATCCGCGTAATAAAATAATTCAACAGTCGCACTCAATTGCGTGCACTGTCCCCGTTACTACTAACCGCAACACCACTACACTAGGAAAGACACACCACTGTCGGTAATACGACACGTGTTTCGCCTCTACACGAGGCATCATCAGGTGAAATATACCTACTCTGCGATGGCTGACCGCTAAGTGACCACTAATTGCTCTATCAAGTAACCACGAAACTATCAACTAACTACAGCGAAGATATTTTGAAAAGCGCAATTTTTATAAGTATTTATAATAGTTAATCCCGTAAAATACGCATTTTTTATACATAACAACGACAAATAAACTGGACAACCTTTCTGATGGTAAGTGGCAACACCTGCAACCGACTTCTAGCAGAGAAGGCCATATGCATTTTTAGAATAGAATAGAATATAATAATTTTTTTATTCAATATTGATTATTACATAATACTTATTGAAAATACCTCAGTCCTAGGAAGAACCAGCAAGAAACCCAGCGGGACTTTTTTTTAAAACATAATTTCACTTAACAAAATTTTGTTTATACAATTTTTAAATGATTTTTCATAGAACCAGCATGGTGGCGATCACCCTATTCCCGGGGGTTATTTTCATTCATGTACATTATCACCCCTAAGCCCTTAACTAGCTTGCGACTAAGTTGAAACGTCGCTTCGTCGTCACAACGTCGGCTCACTGTGCTAGATTAATCCACCATCAAAATCTTCAAATAATGTTAACGTTAGTTAACTTTTCCAATGTGACTGTTCTCATTCCGCACAGATTCTATAACAGATATAACGTAAAATAATGTCGTTTTTACCGCCACACTAGGATTTTCTCCTATATCCTGTAAGCAGATTACTAACATAAAGTGCATAAATACAAACATTCTGATCCTTAACAATTATGTGCGGGATCCGAAGCTGTGGCCCTTAGCGCCGCAATTCTACCGCTTCATTCGTCGTGACCGAAATTTGGTTTAGAGGACACTATTATTTTCTGTAAATTATATTATAGTGTTTCAGTTTTGGCAAAAAACCTCTTAGCCAATGTGACAATAAATAGAAAAAAAAATCGCGGTTGCAGTATCTGGTGAGAGCGAGGGGTGCGCGGCTGCGCGCATGTGGCGCAACGCGTGCGCGGCGCTGCTGGCGCCGGGCGCGGAGGACGCCTGGCAGCAGATCGTCGACGCCTCGCCCCCGGACGCCGTCTGGCACTCGCTCAGGAACTGCGTCGCGTACCAGGTACACACGCACACACACACACACACACACACATATATATATATATACGCCTGTCGTCGACACCTCGCTGCCTGACTCTGTCTCGTAAAGTTTACTTGAGGTTTATATTGTTATCCGGTTAATATTTTCTTAAAACTCCAAAAATATAGCCTGTTCGCTTGGATACGGTCGTCTTTGCATCGCACCGCCTTGCCTCGTGCCGCATTTTGTAAACGGCGCTGCCGCGAAATCGAGGGTCGCCACGTGGGGCGTACACCCGAAGGAAAATTTGGCATTTTAAAACGAAGCGTCGCCACCGCGCCATAGTGAAAGGTTCTTTGCTACGTATTTATTTTTATTATTTATATTCGTATTTTATTACAATAACGATAACAATAAAATAGTACTAAGAGATCGTTCTTAGCGATAAGACCGCCCATTGTACCACATTTCTTTCTCTCCTTTTTTGTTAATATTTATGTTTTTTATGGCAAAAAAAAAATGCTAAACATGCTTATGGTACTTAATTTTGCTAAAATATTCTATTTCATTATAAAAATTTAGTTTCTTGCCTTTTCGATAATTAAAATGGAAAAGTTGGTTAGTAGCACTTGGTTCATTGTGGAGAGGTAAGATTTTATTAACTTGAGTTTTGATGAGCTTCATTTACATGAAGCTACGGTAACATAAATAATTAAAAAACCATAGACACAGCGCTAGTTTCAGAACAGACTCGGAATAGCCCAATTTAACCCATGACACAAACTCGTCGAGTGGCATGAGAAGTAGCGAAGTAGAAACGTAGTGTGGCCACAATATCTCTTTACGTGGTAGAGCCATGCTACAGCTGTATTAGTAGTATAGTTGTAGCACGAATGGGTCGGCTCGATCGGGGAAGGACCACGCTCTCGCAGAATAACAACGTAAAATGGCAGCTTAACACTGCTGTGTTTCTTATGGTGAGTGTAGAGAACCAGAGAACCATTTTACTGGAAAAGAGGCATTCCACCTTAGTCCTCACGCATCTGCATATTGATTCTTTATTGAGGATAAATGTAGATGTCTATGGGTCACAGTAACCACTTACCATCAGGTGGGCTGTATGCTCATTTATCACCCTATCCTATAAAAAAAATACTCGTCATGCCCCACATCATGCTTCTCGTCATGCCCATCGCTCCCTTTTTTGTCGGGTTTTTGGGCGCGAGTCAAAGGACTGGCCACATACTCGCGCGAACGCATTCCGAATCGAGCACTCGTTATGGAAGTGTCGTTCTAATGCGATGAAAAAGTTTCTTCGTATTTTGTTTGTATAAAATTAAATAAAAATCTCTTTGGTTGTACTGTTTGTATCTGGCTGGTTTTAATATCAATACATATAGGAGAGTAAGAAAAACCAAAATAAAAAGTAAAAAACACTTCAATTGTTTTTCTGTCTGCCAAAATGAGGCAATCTAACGAAGAAATTCGATACAATCTGATGTTTTACTGCAAAAAAGCGGAAAATCCCGAGTGGGCTTATCCTTGCCCACTCCTACTCGGGCTCGTAGGCCAGGCATTTCAATCGGTTCGGGAGTATTTATTCTGGGGCCAGAATGACTGAGACTCAGTCAACCAACTGGGACCCCACCACAGCGAGTGGTCAACCAAAGAGGGGGCTTCACAGCCACGAGAAGTGCAGTCTGCGGGATTCAACTCCCCTGGGACATGTCTCCAGTTTAGAGACGTCCCAGAATTCGCGGTTCGCCACAAAGACCTCAAGATTGTGAGGTGCAGCTCTGAGCCAACAAAGTACTATCTCATTGTCCGACCAAGCGTAGACATCTGTAATGTCGATTACAGACTTCAAAGACGAGTGAACGTGATTGAGGAGTCGCGTGAGAAGAGCGGCTCCGGACAGTTCCAATTTAGGGATAGTTAAGCGGGACCTAATGGGAGCAACCTTGCTGTTAGCAAGTACAAGATGGACGGAAGTATGGCCAGAAGAGCTCACATTCCGCAAATATACGACAGCAGCATAGCCTTTCTCAGAGGCGTCGCAAAATTCATGTAGGGTAGCCCTGCATTTCCCTGGAGGGAGGAAGCACCTTGGCATGGAGACCCGGTTGATGTGCGGAAGGAAGGACACAATGGAGTGCCACTCTCGCAAGAGAGCACCGCTAATGGGCTCGTCCCAACCCAACCCAGATATATCCAGAGCTTTTGAAGAAAGTACTTAGCCAAAAAAATGACCGGAGTGATCCATCCACTAGGATCGAAGGTGCGGGCTACTGTAGACAGCACGGAGCGCTTGGTCCATGCTTTAGGAGGGGGATCGAGTTTGACTCGGTACGTGAAAGTATCCTGACTGATATTGAATGCCCAGCACAGTCAACAAATTAGGATTTTCGGGGTGCTCTAATAGATGAGGGTCTTGTTGATCCTCTCCTGGGAGGTCCTTCAAAATATGAGGGGAGTTCGACAACCATTTGCGCAACTCATAACCTCCGGACTTCAGGATGGCAACCAATTCGTCTCGCAATACAAGAGCCTTCTCGAGGGTGGAGGCGCCCGTGCAAATGTCGTCCATGTAGACCGAAGTCTCCAAAATAGAAGCCCCCCGAGCGTATTTTAGACGCTCTCTCAGCGAGTTCAAGGAGGGTTCGCATGGCGATATACGGGCTGGACCGGAGTCCATAGGTGGTGGTTCAACTCAAACACCTGTATCGGATCGCTGGGCTTCTCGCGCCACAATATCAGCTGATATCGACGGTCATCACGATGGACCACTGATTGTCGAAACACCATCCGAATGTCTGCTACAAAAACCACTTGGTGCCGACGGAAGTGGGTCAAAATGTCGAATATGTCCTTGATCAATTTAGGACCAGAGTGGAGACACTAGTTCAGGGACACACCATTTGACGAGGGGGCGGAGCCGTCAAAAACTACCCGAATCTTACTCCCAGGGGTCCTCAAGACCGCATGGTGAGGGAGGAAGTAGTGCTCCTGTGACCGCCAGTCGAAGTTGGACGGTGACATGTTACCCAGCTCTTGATACTCGCGCAGGAACTCGACATATTTGTCGCGAAAGGCTGGGTCGCGCCGCATACGGCGCTCCATGGAAAGCAACCTCTTTTCGGCCAGGGTACGAGATTAGCCCAAAGGGGGCCGTGAGTCAAGAAAGGGTAAGCGAGTGACAAAACGACCGTCGACACGACGGCAGGTATTGTTCTGGTAGAACAACTCGCGCTCACTGTCCAGAGGGTTGACTCGAGCCGCGTGTGGTGGCTCCTCAATTTCCAAGAACCGCTGGACGACGTCCGAAAGGGACACGCCCACAACAGAGAGCGGGTCGGCCGTCTGAGGAGGTGGAGACCACAGAACCGGTCCAAAGAAGCTGTGCCCAAATACAGTGGACATGGCTGACAAGCCATCGGGCTGAAAGGCTCGTATCTCGCCTAACAAGATGAACCCCAGCGCGTCGGCCCCCAGCAACAAATCTATAGGCCCAGGTTGGGACCATTGAGGGTCTGCCGGTCTCAAACCCGACGCACAACGAACCGCGCTGTCATTTATACCAAAAAACCTACAATGTCATCGAGGACATTTACTCTAACTAGAATGTGAAGGTGTTCGCTGGCAGGGCCAAACACCAACTCCGCTTGTCCCCTAGGAGCAGGAGGTTCGGCACCTCCGATACCTACCATTGGCGGTTCAGAGCTCCAGGGGAGCCCTAGTCTTCCCACCAACCAAGTGGAGGCCACACAGCGTTGTGAACCCGAATCCAATAGAGCGCGAACCGTTAAACAGTCGCCACTCAGGTTGTACACCTTCACTGAGGCCGTCGGCAATAGAACAGTTTGACAAGTGGACTGTTGACGGCTCAAAGGATCAGTGGAGGCGGCCGTGGTGGGAGCTAGGGTGGCAGCTACCTAGCTGGAGCTGCCTCCATCGGACCGGCACTCAAACCGGGGGTCCCGAAAGCGGCATTCCGGCGGCATCTCAATGACCCGTGGTTGGAAATCACCGAACGTGCCGACCTGGGGAGCTTCGGGGAACCTCGGCCTTGAGGCCTGGGACAGATTCGAGGTCGCAGGAACCCCGTAGTACCGATACTGACCAAATGGGGGAGGGTGGTACTCCAGTCGCGGCCGCTCAGCTAACGGGGGTGAGAAGGGTCTAACTAACCGCTGAGTGGTCGTGAAACTCCTCTAAACACGCGGGGGGGGGGGGGGGGGACGACTTGCCCGGCGGATTCCGCCTCTCACTGGGCACGGCTCGTAAGTCGTCGACGGTGCCCGCTGCGTTCTCAATTTGCCGGCACTGCTCCTCCACGAACCGCAGCAGGTCCCTGAAGGACGGAATATAGGAGGCGCCTTCCCCGCCGTACCTCTCCTCAAAATGGATCCGAAGATAGAGAGGCAGGCGGGACTGCACGATGTGGAGGAACAAGAAGGACCATTCGTCCACCGGTAAATCCAGCCGCCTCAACGAATTACAGGCCAAATCGACTGGTTTTACGATGTCCGGACGTAGTCTAAGCAGCGGAAGGTTTAGAAGCTACCTAACGTATTCGTCCGCAATTCGCCGGACGTTGGCGTACCGTCGGGCGAGGAGGTCCCGGGCAGTCTGGTAGGCGTCGTCCGACAATTTCAAATGGCCGACGACGCCCAGGGCCTCCCCCTCCAGTGAGGCCAGGAGGTATGCCATCTTCTGGCTTGGTGTGAAGTCCCTCCGGGCGTCCACTAGGCTATCAAAAAGGCCAACAAAGGTCAGCCAGTCGGAGAGGACCCCGGAGAACCTTGGCAGGTCCAGAGTTGGGGAGTCGTCCTAAAAGCTCCGGCCGAGTAGGCTGCTTCCGAGGGGACTCGGGCAGGCCACTCAGCCGAGCTTCACGCGCTTCATTAGCATACTTGGCCCCCGACTCGATCAAGTCGTCCGTGAGCGAAAAGAATTGCTCGTAGTCCGCGAGGAAGGAGTCTAGGACTCCTTGTTCCGCATACGAGGCCACAAGCTCAGTGTAAGCCTCCTCCATTACG